TTGACACTTTAACCACTCGGCCACATTGCCACGAGTGTCTTTGTGTCACACGGTAGATGTGAATTTGAAACAAGGCCAGGCCTTTTTCCCTATCACATTATTTTGTGGGATTGTCGATGAAACAAACTTATTTTTCGTATATAAGTAGTATCGATACTACCGGTAAATCATTAATATGACGTCTCGAAACGTTACTTATATACGAAAAATAAGTTATGTAGCCTATTGTTATAGCAAAAATACGTTTGATTCATCGACAATTTTGCCAAAGAATATGATTTTGGAAAAGGCCTGGCCTTCCTTGAAATTCATATCTGCACTGTGACCCAAGGACAATCATGGCAATTTGGCCGAGTAGTTAACTTGTCGAGCTTGATGCTGCAATGTCACGGTTTGACCCCCGCTGGGGTGTTGATAAGACCTATGCGATGTCGAAACTGCAGTCCATCCTGGATGAGAACAAATTTTAGGAGAACAATGTTATGTGAAATTTAATGAAAACGTCTGCTCTACTCATATCATTGTGGGAAAATCCTACTACCAGTCCTTCATCACCTCAAGAGAAATACGGTGACTCCATCTCATTTTACTGATTTACTGGTAATCTCAAAATTCTACTAAAATGACTTCGCTTGACTGTTAATTTTGATTTATGCCTTACTTTGTTTCTCTTACTGAGGACTCTTTACTAAATACATCTAACTTATTGCGTTTGATAATATAGCTGCTGACAGGATAAGAAGCCTGTGATTGAGCCGTGATTGAAACTCGTAGGTAGGACATTTATCCATACGAGTGCTATAAAGGGAAAAAGAATCAGTTTTAGGGGCCTGGGACAAAAAGTGGGGAGGGGAGAGGAGATGCCACATTTTTTGAGCAGAAAATTAGTGCAAAGGATTGCCTTCATTTTTCAATGTGACGTGTTATAACTCTGTCCTAAGGATCGCACTTCCCACCGACGCCTCTGGCGAAACTTCTAGGAATGTATCGTCCACGGCTGGAAATTATCATGACTACTATGGCAGAGAATTCATGACTGGGTACGCTTTCAAAAGTCTCTCATTTGAAGACAGCGTTATACCTTCCTATTTAATAGCTTATCACACAAACAGACCGATTACAATAGTAAAATAAGTGACACTAATTGATTTTCGTTAATGAAATCAATAGATGTGGTCTGGGCTGCGAATACAGTGTTATGCTAAGTAAATTATTTGCCACTTTATTTTGGCATTATGCTCAATTTATTTTTTTCGAGTTCAATGCAATTGGCTTGACTCTAATCACAAAATCTAACCTACAACGAACGACGCTCAAGCAAGACAATGATATGAGTAGATCTAATGTTTCCATTGAATTTCACATAGCATTGCTTTCCAAAAAGTTGTTCTCATCCAGGGTGGACTGCAGTTGCGACCTGGCATAGGTCTTATCAACTCTCCCGTTACTAAGGCAAATTCTTGTCAGTTTGTCCAACTCCTCGTCCTAGAACTCAGTGTTCGTTAGTTGTAAGCTTCTGATGATCAAACTCCTCATTATTCCTATCTTCAGTCTGTAGTTATGGTGAGACTAAAAATTAAGGATTATTCCCGCATATGATTATTTCTGTATAGTCTTTTTATGAGTGTCCCGTTGGAAAGCATGACTTAAAGGTCCTGAAAGGGTAGTCATTCATCCTCCTCAATCTCCACTGTAAATATGATTCTTTCATCAAGTTGGTTAATGAAATTGAGGACTTCATTCAAATTTTTCTTACCATGTGACCAAAGTCCAAAGTTGTCATCCAAGTATCGCATAAGCACTCTTGGTTGCAGTGGTGATTTCTCGAATTCCCTTTCTAACTTGCCCATGTACACATTTGCCAAAAGAGCTGAGAGTGAAGGTTCAATCGGTAGTCCAAATATTTGCTCGTAGATACTGTCGTTAAATGTAAAATATTTGGTCTTTACTGTCAGGTTGATCTGTCGTATTAACTATTCTTTCCGTATCCATTCTGCCTCTAGGATGTCCTCTTCTCGGTCCAATATCTCCAGCAAGGCACTTACCACCTTCTCACCTGAGATGCTTGTGTACATGGATTGTACCTCGAAACTCACCAGCAGTTCTGATCCCACCAAACCAATTTTCTGGATCCTTTAAGAAAATTCATATAAATTCTTAACGGTATTCGAGAGTCTATCATTTACTTACTTGAGCTTCAAGCAAATGAATTTCGCTAGTTTGTGTATTGCTCCATGCTTTTGTTGACTATTAGTCTTAGCGGATTTCCTTCCTTGTGTATCTTCGATAGTCCGTAGGCTGTCGGTAGTCTTGCGTCATTTTCGATTAAAAATTTCATCATCCATCTATCAATTTCCCCATTATTATGCATTTCCTTGAGCATATTCCTTAGTGTCCCGTTGATCTTCATGGTTGGATCCTTCCTTAGTAAGTGTTCCGGTCGCCTATGATACTTTCCATTTTCTCCGTGTACTGTTTCCTGTCCATTACAGCCATCGTTCCTCCCTTATCTGTCTGAATGACTATTTGATCATTATTTTGTAGTCTTTTCCGTATACCAGTTAATCTGCTCATGTGTATCGGTTCTTGATGTGTCAATATCCATCGGATTATTTCCAGTTCCATCTCCCGCCTTGTCTTTTCTGTATATTAATCCATTATGTTTACAACTTTGACCAGCATATCACTCAGAACGTTTCCTTCGTTACCTAGGAAAAAATGTAACCCCTTCTTTAAACATCAGTAATTTCAGAATCAAGAGGGATTGAAGATAGGTTTACTACCTTAGTCCTATCGTCGTCTGTAGCAGTTGATACCTTTAATACACAACCATCACAACTTGATAAATTTGGAAGCACTTTGCTCAAAATATATTTTGGAAACAACCGATTCCGACAGCCAAGGTACAACTGAGCACTAAAAATATTGTTATTACACCAAGGAGTCATTTAACGATTTCTGCAGTTTTATCTCCATCACTTCGTTTATTATATTTTTCTTGTCTTTTTATTTTTATTCTCGAGGATTTCGTCGACCGGTCTTATGAGTTAGATTCCTCTGCTCCAGCCGCTGGTCACTCCAACCTAAGAGACAGTCCAGGTGACATGAAGCATCGTCTGGCGGCAGAACTTCAACTCTCAGATAGTGAGGGTGAGCAGCAAACTGGAGTAGACGAAGAGGATGTGGAGGAAGAAGAGGAAGAGGAAGAGGAAGAAGAGGAATTTGGTAATCAAGATGACCACGAAGATGAGGAAGTGAATGATGACAGTTACTCTGGTCCTCTCAGGGCAGAGTTGGATGTCTATGTGTCCAGTAACAGCCTTCATGGCCTGGAGGATCCTGGAGACCTTTGTCAAACAGTCGATGCTCTTTTAAAGGATGAATCCATGCAAACTGGATCTAGACGAACCCTAAACCTTGGGCTGACTTGTGCTGAGAATATTGGCCACATTAGTAACGACATTGGTGACGGAGGGCTAGGAGATGGGGTGCTTCTGTTAGAAGACGTACCTGGTGACGAAGACGACGTCGCCAATGAGGGTGATGCTGACGATCTTATGGCACAAGGCGGCGAATTGTTGGACGACGAATCGTTATTAATGCTGCCCGGATCCGGGCAAGAGGAGCTCGACCATCATGATCATCTTCATCAGCTTTCACTGGAAGCGGACATTCATCGCAATCAGCTTGGCTGCCACAGTGAGCCAGATGTAATTTATGCGATACGTGAGGAGGTGGTGAGTGGTGTTGATGAGAACGATGAGATGGTACTACTAGGTCCTTCAGAAGACGTCATGCAGGCTAGGAGGCGAAATAGTCATGGCGTCACGCGACTTCCTGGTGCCGATGGCTATGGAGGTGAGGAATCGAACTCTCAGCATTCCTTTGATATAAGGTGTTCAGAGGAGATGGAAGAAATCGATGGTGTAGAAGAGGAAGAAGCATCTGACTTTACTTCTTACGACACATAGCCCTTAATTCTTTCCTTTCTATTCAAAATCAAATCCCTTAGATATGCATACCTTCATCTTTGTACATTTTCGCTTCCTCTCTTCCCTCAAAACCCTGGATTAGGAAATTATTTGTTATTTCAACATAATTCTATTTTTCCCAATTAATTCTTTAATTTTGCTTTAGCTTACTCATTCGCATATCTCGTTCTTTACGAATATTTAACCGAACATAGCTTCGGAGTCTCCGAATACGCGCACTGTGAAGAGATAGACATTAATCAATGAGATGACACGACAATTAATTCTATCCAAAATTATTTTGGTTTAACCTCGTTTTTGCCTGTTTTATATCGCTTGGCCTGCTATCTACTTGCGTACTACTTTCGTATCGAATTGTCTCTGAATGACTCAATTTGGAGTTTATTTTTCTTATTCCAACTAAATGTACTGGAACTTATTATTTTTTTCGTGAGTAGGTTTTCGAGACCACGAGTATATAAGATATGTGGGTTATATCTACCCTATTTTGTTTATGGTGATGAAGGACTGGTAGTTGATTTTTCCCACAATGATATGAGTAGAG